TATTTTGTGTGTCATATACTGTTATATTACATCAAATACAAATTATTATACAACCTCTTTCCATAAAATAATGTCATTAAAACCAACTAATAACAGCACATTTCTGTAAATTTAAGCATTATTATTCGTAATACAACGTTTATTTACCATTTTTCTAGGTAATTTAATTGTTTTAAAATGTGAAAATGTTTCTAATTATATGTTAAAAACAACCTGAAAATAAGGCAAAATCTTGTTAAAATTACGACTTCAAACTGTATTTTAATTATGGAAAATAACTGTATTTTTATGAGACAGTCATTTTCTGTTATTTCACGGTATTTTTTTGGCGCCCCAGCTGCCGGAAAATTACTGTTTTTTTAGGATTTTTTTTTTTACAGTGTAAAAAAAGAGAAAAGTCGGGAGGTTTGATCAAAGCATAGCTTAGTACATGGTAGATACATGTAGTTTAATCTGTTTGAGTTTAAGGTTTTATTTCTTCAATATAGGATCCTGTCGTACTTCTCAAGAATCAGTTACCATATATACATTGCTCCAAAAAAACGCTTAAAACACACAGCAGATCTTGATGAACGAATTATTCTAGTTGAAATTCTTTACTGATGTATATTATATAATATGTAGAGGGCTGGATTCATCACCACAAATTAAATCAAAGTAAAAAATTGAAATCACAGGCTTATCCAATTCATAATGTGAATCAGTAGTGTGTATGGCCCCCACAATTAATTTGTGGATGGTGTCCTGGGGGACCACACCCGGATCAGGACATCAGTGAGCTCCTGGACAGTCTGTGGTGGTACTTGGCAATGTCAAATACACTGTCACATAACCTCCCATAGGTGCTCAATTGGATTTAGGTCAGGGGAATGTGAGGTTCAGTCAATGGCATCAATGCCTTCATCATCCAGGCACTGCCTACACAGTCTGGCCACATGAGGCATTGTCCTGCACAAGGAGGAACTGCACCAGCATAAGGTCTGACAATAACTCTGAGCATTTCATCCTGGTACCTAACAGCAGTCGAGGTACTGTTGGCTATGACATGGAGGTCTGTGACCCACATCATATACATGTAACCGTCCTGTTACAAGTGATCCAGTCAAAGCTTCAACAGAAAATTTGATCATGGAGAAACAGAGAGTGGCTGATCATAATTCAACAGAATTATCTGTGTTGATATTATTAACATCATGCAGATGTACAAAGGAAATAATTAGCATATGTACTGAGCACAGCAATACCTGGTAACAGTACTGAAACACAGTACCACCTCCACTGTAATGAACGCATAGTTTGTATTGATATAACCGTGAACATATTGTAACAAGCAACTCTGATTTCCTATGAACAGATCTTGAAGAAGATGGATCGAACATTACAAAAAGAGACATCGGGTCCAGCAAACAGGAGAATACTGACCGTCAGCAGTTACAGGTCAGTACTGTCTGCCGCCTCGGCTGAAATTCCTGTGAGCTGGATGTTGGCGCTGTAATCAAGCTTTGAAAAAAAACGTTCACTGGCCAAGCCCCTCACACCATAAGTTTGATTGGCTCAAAATTTCACACACATATCCAGCCAATGGGGTTCTACAAAAAAGCCAATTGGACCATAGAAGTCCGCCATAATTTTTTTTGGGCAATTAAAAAACAGTAATCTCACATCTCCTTTTTTTCCAACAACAAATTTGGTATACTGTATTGTCAGACTGAAATACACATTACTATTATATATAAACCAGATTGGTCAAAAAACCTGGCTGCCGTTAACCCAAACCTTTTGCCAACGGCGGAGCTTAACAGGAAATTGGCCAGTCTTTATTAATCTTGGTAGAACCGCCGGGGATCCCCACTGGATTCCCCACAAGCAAGTGGGGGGGTTTATGATGCTTCAAAGACAAAACAGACACAAAAATGAAAACAAATATATCCAGGTGAAAAAGTAGAGACACACACATAGAAGACACCGACAAAGATGTCTAGACAATTTGTTGTGATAAGAAATGACAAAGGTGTCAGGGTACTGTCAACAAAATCGCGTGCGTGATCCACGCAGCAGAGTTAATACCTCACTTCCTATCTCTGTTGCTGCCCCACCTCTCATCTGAATAACACGGAGGATTTGATGCTGTTGTGAACGCGTCTGTGCAGAGAACCTCCCGATGTGTTGTGCATGTGTGAAAGGCAAACTCTGGGTAAACTGCATAACTAATTCTCCAGATTTTACCCAGGGGTCATCTCTGAAAGTGGCTTTAGACTGAAGTAAATCTGCTCAAGTGACTTTGTGAAGCCTGAAACCTGCTTATTGCTTCTTGCCTCATATGCGGTTTGGATTTGTGCATTATGAAAATACTGTATGCAATTTCACATTTTACCGTTAGATTTGGACCATCATTACAGTATTTATACAAACACAAGACAGAATGTCATCTTTCACAGAACACTAAACTAAACTTTTTGTAAGTGATGGTACTATGCAGCACACAGAATGACAGTGGGTGGATTTTAACAGCACTTTACTCATCCTCTCATCCTAGACTGCTTACAACAATCTTTATTCAGAAAGAGCTAGGTCCATCCTCTGTTGCCTGTACCCCGTTTCAGTATGGCATATCTGAGATGGACCAGAAAACTGTACATAAATAAATTGATGTAGAAATTATGCCACAGTACCCACAACAGATGTAAAACAGCACTAACCTCTTACCACTAACCATCTACATATGAACCACGTCAAACAGTGTAAAACAGTCAATGGATAAGAAACATGGCAGAAAGCCAAGTCTTCAAAACAAACATCGGACTCAGAGATTGAATAAGGCTTTTGGCTGTGACACAAGATATGAAAAGAATGAAGCTGGAAGGAGCCAACAGCCAGTGTCACAAATGTGCAAAGACATGGACACAATTTACAATAGAGAAAATATGTGAGAAACCAGTCTGTGCGAATGTGCACACTTAATATGTCAGTATCTACAATACATAATTTGAGTGTGCACTAAACCATAAGAAAGTTTAGCCTCATTTGCGTGAGCACCCCTAAATATATAATGTAGCCAGATATTTTAAAAATATATATATTGGCCTGCATTTCAGACATTTGGGGTTAATCTTTGGGTTTTAAATGTATGAGAGCATGAACCAGTTAAGAAAGTGGTGAGGTAGCCACCTCTTACATATATTTATATTATACATGCTCTGTTTGTTTGCTACTTTTATTAACACATTATATGTTGTTTAGTAGCTCTGTACATGTGTTATTGTCAGTGCAAAGAGTACAAGAGGAGGGTGGAGATGGAGAAGAGAGAGAGAGCGGGAAGAACCAGGTGAGAAAGCGGACAGATGGTGAAGTCAAAATTGTTAGTTTGGCACAACATACATTACCTCAGTGGACTACATTCTAAAAATCACATCTTCATTTAAATGCTTTTTCTAAATAACAACATATGCTATTTGTTTATTTTCAAAATTCAAGGAGAAAGAGAAGAACATGGAGATTATTTGAAAGATGAGAGAGTGAGAGGGCAGATCAGAGAGACAAATGAAGAGACAGAAAGAGAGCTGCATACCAGACACCAAGCTGAAGCAGAGAGGGCTACCTTTTTGGTTGAGGGGATAAGGACACAGGTCCAAAACTTTTAAAGCTGTCTAAATACCCATATGATCAGTTTGGTTCTCAAAAAATAACCTCTCAACAGAATTGGCTCAACAGCTTAAAATGTCTGGAATACTCCTTAAGGAAAAATGTGGCTTTCTGCTTTGCTTGCCAGGTATTTGGTAACATTTTTAGAAAGGAGGTATTTGTGAATGGTGGGGTCAAGAAGTGGAGAAAGGCTTTAAGCATGTTTCAGAAACATGAATCCACCCAGTCACATGAGGACAGTATTGTTTGCTGAAACAGCTACAAAGATAGTCTGTCACACCGAAATGTTGTACAGCAGAGACAGCCAGTTCTGCTGAGATCAGAGAGAGAAGGAAGTATGCATTTATGCATGTCACATTCTCATAGGGGCTGAGCACCCCTAAAAGTCGGATCCGAGAATCCCCCCTGTAATTAGATTTGTTACTATCGGCATAATCTTTACGTTTTTTTACTTTTATGTTTGAAGTGGTCGCCATCAATTGTATTGGCTTTGGTTGCAACGCTGTTTACCTCTGAAACTCGAAAAGTGTTTCGTGGACTCAAACACTTCATCCCTTGAAAGGTCCAGTGTGTAAGATTTAGGTGAAAGGGATCTATTGGCAGACATTTAATGTAGAATAATCCTCATGATGTTTCCACTAGTTCGTTTCATCCAAATTGTGTGAATTGTAGTTTTCTTTACCCCAGAAAATGCCCTTTATATTTAAATACTTTATATTTACATGGAGGGGGGGGTCCTCCATGTTTTTTACATTAGTCCAGACTGGACAAACTAAACACCTTTTGAGTTTTTGTGACAACTGAAGCTACCACAGGTTCTTTTTCATGTTTGGAAGGAGAGGGTGAGGTGAGGGGTGTTCAGCTGCAACATGTAACTTCAACACTTGATATCACTAAATTCTACACACTGTACCTTTAAGTGACATTTATAATAATGTGCTTGTAATCTACAAAATGCCATTTTAACAAATATATTATACTTGATAACTTTGGTAATCTGGTATCATATTTATACTGCAGCTTTTTGTAGTGCAGCAGCTGTTAACCCATGGTTTCTGTCTGTCAGCCAGCGGATGTGTTGGGGCAGCAGCTGGAGCCAGAGGCTGCTGTGGTGAAGAAGGAAAGGCTGGAGGAGGCAACAGTCTGCTGTGTGCTAGAGGACCATGAGACAGCAGCTTACAGCAGCAGTATGTATGAACAACTCCAAGCAGACATGCTACTCATTGTAAATGTAGATCTCCTGCCCCCAGCTCACTTTACATTTTCAAGGTCCAGTGTGATTTAGGTGAAAGGGATCTATTGGCAGAAATTGAATATAAAATAGTATGAATTGTTGTTTTCTTTACCCTTGGATGGGCCCTTCATATTTAAATACTTAAAATTTACATCGGGAGTGGGTCCTCTACATAGGCTGCCATGTTTTTTACAGTAGCCCAAATTGGACAAACTAAACACATTTTGAGTTTTTATGACAACTGAAGCTACCACAGGTTCTCTTTCATGTTTGGAGGGAAGGGTGAAGTGAGCTGCAACATGCAACGTCACCACTAGATGCCAATAAATTCTACACACTGAACTTTTAAGTTATAAAAGCAATGTTTTAGGTCAGTCCTGATAACTTCTCCATGAAAAGTCTGCACTGAAAGCTGCTGCATTACTGTGATGTCTAAAAGGTGGATAAATGTGCTGATTATCATTATTATCAAACAACTTTAACAGAAACATAAAATGTGAAAGCTTAAAAGCTAAAAACAGATACATAAAGACAGCATTGTTACAGATGACATCTCTGAAACATGTAATAAGTCATACACATTTAGCACCAGGTAAATGATAATGAAGTGAACATTTAAAACTGTTCATATTATTATTCCTCTGGAAGTATCTGAAAGCAACAGCTTTAGTATATAGCTATATTTTATGGATGTTTTAAAGTTCGTTGACATGGGTAGGATTTCTCTTGGTGCTGCTGATGGTCAACCTGACTGTGACAGAGAGAGAGAGTAGGAGAGCAAGGTAAAGAGCGCTGTCCTTGTGTTCTCTTTGAAGCCATTTGGTTTCAGCTTTAAAAATAAACTGCAGATCCCACTTTTGAATTATCAGTATTTTATTATCAGGTCACCTTTAGGATGCTCACCTGCACGCATAGATTCTGCACATCAAGCTCTCTCTCATTGGGGATGGGGGGGTAGCTGCAAGGGGATGGATATTTGATCATTTGGGTTAAAGGCGATGGCATCCGCCCCGTCCCCTGCAAACTGCCCACTATTTATATAGAATTTTATTGAAAGGATTTTATTGAAAAATCATTTCTTATCATATTCAAGGAATTAAAGGTACAGTGTGTAGAATTTAGTGATATCAAGTGTTGAAGTCACATGTTGCAGCCGAACACCCTTCACCTCACCCTCTCTTTCCAAACATGAAAAAGAAACTGTGGTAGCTTCAGTTGTCACAAAAACTCAAAAGGTGTTTAGTTTGTCCAGTCTGGACTAATGTAAAAAACATTGCGGCCTCTGTAGAGGGGACCCCCTCATTGTAAATATAAAGTATTTAAATATAAATGGTCTTACCCTCTAGGGTATAGAAAACTACAATTCATACAATTTAGATGAAATTAACTAGTGAAAACATCATGAGCATTATTCTACATTAAATTTCTGCCAATAGATCCCTTTCACCTAAATCTTACACACTGGACCTTTAAATCATCAAGACATCACTGTGAAGTCAGAAAATGACATCATAGTGTATCAATGCAGTAATGCTTGCAACCAATGGCATGAGAGAAAATCTGCTGTTAATTTAGCTTAGACATTCTTTGTCATCACATAGTATAAATTGCATCATGATGACACTAGCACATATTATGAAATGGCATTATTACAATATAACAAAGATAGCATTGCCTGATTTGAAACACAGGGGTATTTGGTTTTTATCTAGCCAAATTGTTAAGTCCCTTTTTGTTTGAATCAATTTGTGTATTTTTTTTTTCTGACAGTTGAAGTCCACTTTTAACATATTGAGCCAAGAACAAACAGAAGAATTATCATCATGTGTGATTTTGACCAATGTCAGCTCACACTTAAAACCAGCTTTTGGTCTTAAAGTGTGGAGATATGGATGGATGTTATAGCTGGGTACTCTGAGAGTGTTGATACTGTTACATATTTAGTTTTAATGAGTAAGATAAGAAGATTGATAAAAAAAAAATTCTCTGTTCATTCCTCAGTTGGATCTCAGTCTCTCTCTTCTGCTGCTGAGAACAGAGACAGTGGTTCAGCCCAGTTTGAAAAACAGGATTTAGTCGGACTTGAGGCTCAGCAGGAAGAAGAGAAAGAGCGAACAAGTCCGGATGCTCATCGTGAGAGCCATAGAGCCGCACCAGGATGTCCAAACAGAGACTTGACCAAGGAAGACAAGCATGTTGTGGATCTCAGAGACTCTACTAGTACAGATCCTAATGTACACACTCCACTGATCAAGACACTGGTGTCAGAGCTGCCTTTAACAACAAGTATGTGTGGTGCTGCAGCAGACTGGAGGGAAGAAGCAATGTCAACACCAGTGAAACAGGAGGCTTCGTGGTCTGAGGCCTTTAGGTCATGTGATGCTTCGGTCTCTGTCACTAGAAGCCAGTGTGTGAATAACAGTAGATTAACTTACAGTCACCACACAGAGAGACAAGAAGCCTCTCTGGATGACTTGTTCTCGACTACAGAGGTGACCCAGTCTCTTACGACTCCCCATATACATTCCACAGATGGAGTAGCAGGCACAGATGAGTCACTGTCAACCCGTTGTTTTCCAGTCCTTAGTAGCGGCAGTAGCTTGGGGAACTCTTCCATGTCAGACTGGCTAACGGGCTCCTCCTTCAGTAAGGCCTCCGCTGACTCCAGGAGCACAAGTTTTCCCAGCACCACAGAGCAAGCATTCAGCTGCCAGCAGTGCAGCCATCTTTTCTCCACTTCCAGAGACTTGGTGGTGCACAAGCGCTCCCACTCTGGGGAGAGGATCTTCTACTGCCACCTCTGCACAAAACCCTTTGTCCATCCACACCAGCTGAAAACCCACCAGCGTGTGCACACAGGGGAGAAGCCGTTCAGCTGTGCACAGTGTGGTAAGCGCTTTTCCCAGTCCAGCCACATCAAGAGACACATGAGCGTTCACACAGGCGAGAAGCGCTACAGTTGCAGCCTGTGTGGGAAACGCTTCTCGCAGGCCTGCAGCCTCAAGGTGCACCAGGCTGTGCACACCGGAGAGAGACCGTACAGCTGCAGCAAGTGTGGGAAGAGATTCTCTGTTCTGGGAAATCTGGTCCGCCACCAGAGCGTCCATGTCCACCAGTGAAAACACACACACGCGGGTCTCTTTACAACCACCTGTAGAAGAGGGGCAGGCGTCAGCTTTGACGGCTGAATGCGGATGAAGGGCAGCAATTGGTCAGACCCGAGCCTATTCCGTCGCCTGTGCAGACAATTGGGTCCAAATCATACACATCCCCTGGAGAAACTGCGGAGCATCTGCGGAGTTCAGTACATGTCTGAAAGCATTTTTATTGGTGATTATTATTGCTCTTTTTTAATGATATTTCCACATATTTCTAAACACTAGGTGTTGTTGGACCAATAATTGAGCTACATAAAACATACAGTGAATGTTGACTTAAAAAGTCTTAATCCTTATTGATAAAAAATATCTTTTGCACAGTTGTCTGATGATGATGGCTGAATAAAAGAATGAATGAAACTCGATGAGCCTAACTGATAATATATGAGTTTATTATGATGTGGATCTGTCGACAGAGAAGGTTGTTGGTTTAAAAAGCTTCCAGTTCAGCAGGTGCTTTAGAGTGATATACCCTCCCGAAGGGAAACAGTTACCAGCCTGCGTCACCTTGGATCTCTGCTCAGACTCTCAAGGTTTACCTCATCCATCACAGACAGGCCAGCACTGCCTTGATGCTAGCATCTTACACATACTGCACTCTGATAGAGGCTCTCATGACCTCAGGTCAACCAAGTCATAAATGGCTTCAGGCTTAGTGTAAGTCAACTTTTTTTAGGGCTGTTAAGATTCTTCAACAGTTGTGATTATATTTGATGTTGATGTGTGCTGATCAAGTATAATGCCAAGAAATTAAGTTTAATTCATTCCTATTTTGACATAATTTATTCTAAATTCAACCTCTGTATTTATGACAAGGTTACTAAAAATGATATATTATTTTTTGTCATGCACAGCTTATTCATATCAAGCCATTTTAACAAGTTTCATTTATCTTACATTTATTTAACTGTTTCCAAAATGTCATTTAAATTCATCCTAGAACAAACAAAGTGTGTGTCATCTACAAAGAAGATAATCTAAAAACACATCTTGGCATTCTACAAAGGTCATTTAAATACAACCTAAACAATTCTGGACCCAGAACTGGACCCTGTGGAACACCATAGTTTACTTTCAAAAGTTCAGAAACCATATTATGCATAGAAACGTATTGCCACCTATTTATTTAAATAAAAATAAAGTAATGCATACTCGTCTGATATCATATTTATACATTTTATGTAACAGTATTTTATGATCAATTGTGTCAAATGCTTTTTACAGGTCTGTTAAAACCCCACACCATATATACCAGGGGCATTAAAGCAAAATTCAAGAGGTCCAGTTAGAGAGAATTTCTTCAAGGAAACATCATAATGTCTAACTGACTAAAAAACTGACAAATAAAACAAAGAAAGTAAAATAATGGTGTAGACACATGTTGAAAATATGTCACTTCTCTTGACATGCTTACATTGTAAGGCAGTGGGCCGAGTTAAAAGTGGACATGAACAGGAAACAAGGTGAGCACCAAACTCTGACGCCATGGTTCAAATAGAATAGAATAGGATAAAATAGAATTGTATTGCCCTGAAAGGTGGTATAACCAATGCAAAGAAAATGCATGTGCTTGATTTTTCCCAATACAGAGAGTCATTATTAATCAGCACATATTTTTGTAGCACTTTCTTGATGACCACTCAAAGTGCTTTCCAGTACAGTTTATTGCCATTTACCCATTCACACACACATTCATACAGTGCATCTCTGGGCAGCACTTTTTTGATGAGGGGCTATTCGAGGTTCACTATTTTTGGCATGCAGACGGGATGACAGGTCTCGATTTTCTGGTTAGAGGACGGCCGTTCTACCCCCTCAGCCACAGCCGCCCCTTTAGAAATACAAAATATGGCACACATTAAATCAATAGGTGCCAAATGTCAGTACCTGTGAGCGCATCTGTGTCATTGAGTATGTATACAGGGTCAATAGGGGGCAATAGTGCGCCGCCAAAGATAGAAAGGAAGATAGATGATCGTGATACATTCTGTTAATTATCATTAGAATAGTATTTATTATTTTTAAAAATCTATTAAATTATACCAATTCTCAAGACAGTTTGTCCTGCCTAATGCCTCTGAATGGCATCGTCCAATCGGCTGCAGCTTCGAGCCCTGTTCAATAGAGTATGGAGCAATGTTAATATGGCTAAAAATCACCCACGCCCTCGTCGCTTTATTCGACGCTGCGCGGCTTCGAGCCGCGTTCACTGCCAGCTTCAGTGCGGCAGGCAGGAACTGGAATCCCACGTTGAGCGCCAGTGTGGCAAATGAAAAAAAGAGTCGCTTTTCAGCATATTTTACTAACACACGTGACCAAACATAAAGTCCAAACTTAACATAAATTGTCCAACTTATAATCTTATCAGGCTCGTCGTTTCTCTCTCCCCATGTGCGTCCCTTGTGCGTGTCTCTCGCCGCCTCGGCAGCTCTGCTGCTGCCTTTTAAGCCTGGTAACCTCCATGCCTACAACATGCAAGTGCAGGTTAATGTGACAACACTCAGGATCTTCTAATGATCATCTTTCTGAAGCATTGAGGCATTTAGACTGTCTGTTTATGATGCTGTTGTGTGAATGACTTCACTTTACTTGATTTTAACATTTATTTTAGCTGCATCCACAACTCCCTCTTCTTCCAACTGCACCTTGTTGAGGCAGATGCCCCCTCCCACCCTAGATCCTACCTGAGGTGTCCTCTGAAAAGAGACTTTTTTATATGTTGTGATTTGATGCTGTGCAATTAAAATGTAATAGCATGACTGATGAATACAAGCCTTTGACTTTTGATATTATGATATCAGGCAGTCTATATATAGAATATGTGTATTATCTATTAGTTAATCATGTGCACTCAGTGGTTCTTAATGTGGGTGTGTTTGATTAAAAGGAATAATGTAATTCCTTGTTTCCACCATTTATCTGTCAGATTTGGCTGCAACACTGTTAACCCCAGAGACTCCACAAGTGTTTTATGGACTCAAACACTTCACCCACCCCTCCATTTGCATAGTGGTGAGTAGACAATGAGTGAATTTTCATATTTCGGGGAACTATCCCTTTAAAGCCTGACGTGAAGCTTCAGAACAGGAAAATCACTTACACTCATCTGACTTGGTTCATGTTTCTGTGTGCACAAAGATTTTCCGATTTCAGTGTAACATCAGTTTCAGGTGCAGTCTCCATGGGGCTGGAGGATGAAATGTAAATAAGGAGTTTTTGTGGGAAAGGCAAGATTCTGACTCAGCTGACTGTAGTAAAGCTGAACAACAAACTGACGTCATCAGAGGGCGACCCGTGCACTTCATAGAGACACAACATTTGAGCTGCACACAGTCAGGGACAGATACACAGAGACTGTGAATCCGGCTCCTGGTATTTTGCATGTCTCCGATCACACACCAGCGTGTGGATTTGTTGACACCCGAGCACTGCGGCGCACGCCTGTCCGCGCACGAACAAACACACAGCCGAGACAATGATGGCGGACTGTATCGGCTTTCAGGCGCAGATTGCCTCGATCATAGAGATACTGGCCAACTCTGCGGTGGCGGAGATCTGCAAACTGGTGGACGATGGCTTCGCGGCGCTGCGTTCCCAAATGGAGCAGGAGCGCGACAAGAGCGAGAAGGAGAACGACGCGCTGCGGCAAAAGCTGCAAGACATGGACGTGAAGATGAGGAGCTACCAGAGGAAGATGAGGAGACGAATTCAGCGGGAGGAGTTCAGGCCACCCGAAGGTAAAGAGGTGGAGGCAGCAGCCGGCCTGCTGTGGAGGAGACATTAGTCCGAGGGAGGCAGGACAAACACACACATGTCCTCATACACACTGTCATGTCACCACACCAACTCCATGAATGTTAACGATCCGGTCCAGTTGTCCTGCAGCCCTTTAACATGAGATCAGTGGAGACGTCGCCCTAAAGAGTAAGTGTCTGCTGGAGAAGAATTTTCACATCCGAGTAACCCATATTTCTTTCTTATTAATGGCCTATGATCTATGAAGCATTAGTAATGATACTAATTGCAGCTCGTTATACCTTTGTAACTGGCCTCCACTGGTCTGCAGCTGAGCAGACACTGTTGGATTTCTTTGATGTTTCCACATGATCTACTGCTGCTGGGCTCCAGTTCATCCCTGTTTATCCCACTGTTGTTTGTGGACAGGACTTGACTTTGGTCTGTCTCGTGGCAATAGAAATAATGTTCAGAAAACCAGATAGACCCTCCTAAGAGCTAAACACATTTTTCATCTCTATAGTATTAAAATAGATATTGTATTCCCATATGTACATTGAAAAAGTTATTGGTTGCTGTAAGTAATTTCAATGTAGGTGAGGGATGACAACAAGATCAAAAGTCCCCCATCTTTGAGGCTTCAATGGATTAATTAACTCTTGACACTTCAAGTGGTCAAATTCGGTCTTTGTGTTGTTCCCTCCTCCACAGCTCCGCAAAGAGACACTTTACTGTTCACTGATGGTTCTTTCTCACTAGTGTCATTTTTTCCAGCAACAGCAGCAGCAGCTGTTTTCATAGAAAAAGCTCTGATAAAACTACTGCCCACCACCTGCTCAGCAGCAAACAGCAGACAAATGCAGCTGAGAGACAAGCTTCTGAACTGAGTGGAAAATTTAGCAGCTAAAGATACAGATATATCCCTCAGGAGGTGGTAGAGACCAGAGGCCCAATTTCTAAAAGAGTGTGTAGGATTCATACTAAAATTGTACGTGCACACAAAAGCCGAAAATGGCATATGCTAAAAAGATTCAGATTTATAAAACTGTGCACACGCACATCTGAAGGTAATTTTCTCATTATAAATCACACTCCCCCTGGAAATGTCCGTATGTGAATCTACCTCATATTCCGCCCTATGCTCGCTGAAGTGGCTATTTGTCCAAAGGATGTTTCTTTCAAAATAAACTTAATAAAAAGCCACTGAGGCACCAGTCTAGTTGGGCAGGCAACCAAAGATGTCCATTGTTCATGCTGAATTCATGGTTGGGTAGATTTTCCTGTTCAAAAACACCCTCATGCTCTGGTAAAAAAAACTTTTCCCTTTCTGGTGCTTCCCCTCATTAACATCCCTACTTAGTGTCTAAAAATATAAATGCTAAAATAACAAATAATAATAATATATCAAACTAATGAAATAGCTTCTACACCCACATTCAACCATAAATGGTCAATGCAAAGCCCCTCATGAATTTTAAATTATCCTGCTCACTAATGGGTTTCTACAGTGAATCAAGGCATCAAACAATAAGGATGAGGAAGCAAAACTCTCTGACACTGACATTGAGGTGTTTGTGAGTGAGGTGGAGGTGAAGAAGTGCTTTGAAAAGAGTTGTAGACTGTTACTGTTATTCCAATTGTGCTATAATTTACAATATAAGGTTTTCAACTCAAAACTCAGACTACAACAGTAAGTCTATGACAGTGGTCAGTGCTCTCTGCACTGATTTCACATTCATTCAGTTTACACTTTGTGCTGCACCTAAGGCTTAAAAGGACAAACTCTGATTATAGCCTTTACTGTATTGAGGTAGACCCACCTGCACCCCCTTAGCAGCGCAACTGCACTGAGGTGCATGACTCCGCTGGTCAGCAAGTGACTCTGCTCCTCTGATGTTTTTCTAATCACTCACACTTAATAACTGATCTTTATAAAAACCTGCTGAATTCATATTGATGTTCCTGGATAAACGGGGCGTCACTTCTTTTGCAACAATCAATTTAAAACACTGTGTTGCATCTTAACCTTGATGTCCTGACTGGCCACTTTATTTGGCACACCTGTTCAATTGCTTGTTAACACAAATAGTTAATCAGCCAATCACATGGCAGCAACTTGATGCATTTAGGCATCTAGACATGGTTAAGATGACTTGCTGAAGTTCAAATCGAGCATCAGAACTGGGAAGAAAAGAGATTTAAGCGACTTTGAACTTGGCATGGCCTCCACAGTCACCAGATCTCAATCCAATAGAGCACCTTTGGGATGTGGTGGAATGGGAGATTTCAAGATTCAAGATTGTTTTATTTGTCACATACACATTCATACATAGTACAATGCATAGTGAAATTGTTTTTGTTCCTGCTACCACAATAGTAATAAATTAAAATATGAAGAAAATAAAGACTAGAACTTGGAAAAAAAAGTGTTTAAAGGTTATTTTTGCCTTAATGCTATAAAGTGTCCAGTGAATAATAATAATAGATATTAAATATTGACATGTGAAATTTACAGTATTGAATATAAACATGTGAAATTTACAATTTTGCAGTATATACAATATTACAGTGCAGGTGATTGAAATAGTCCAGTTCAATGCTCACTATTGAGCAGACGGATGGCCTGTGGGAAGAAGCTTTTCCTCATCCTCTCAGTGTTGGTTCTCAAGCAGCGGAACCGACTTCCTGATGGCAGCAGGGAGGGGAGTGAGTGTCCGGGGTGGTGGGGCTGCTTCAGGATCCTCTCAGCTCTGGACCTGCATTGTTTGGTGTAAATGTCCTGCAGGTCGGGTAGAGTTGTTCTGATAGTCCGCTCGGCTGAGCGGACCACCCTCCTAAGGGCCAAGAGGTCCTGTTTCTTGCAGCTGCCCATCCATGTGGTGATGCTCCCACTCAAGATGCTCTCGATGGTGCAGGTGTAAAAGATCCTGAGCACCTTGAGGGGGAGCCTGAAATCTCTGAGGCGTCTGAGGTGGAACAGACCTTGCCTGGCCTTTTTAATAGTCCTGTCTACATGCAGTGGCCAGGACAGGTCCTGTGTGATGGTCACACCGAGGTATTTAAAACTGTTCACCCTCTCTACCTCAGACCCGCCGATGCAGAGCGGACGAAAGTCACTTTGCTGCCTCCTCCTGTAGTCCACGATATATATATAAAAACAACATAAATCTATTGTGTTTGTCTCTGCATGGATGCAGAGTCGTCCACATCGTGATGCATCTAAGACTCAAGAAATGTCCAGAGCTCAAGTGCTCAACACTGCAGGAGACGTGGAGGGAGGGAGGGTAGAGATGAAGTCTAATCTCCCAACCTGATGTTTAGATTTAATATATAATAATGATTTATAAAAAATAAAAAAGCACCCCAGAAAAAGGGCGCGTTCTTTCAAAGAAGAAAAGGAGCAGGGGTTCAAGCCCCCCTTGATGTGTATGTGTGCACGTGTATGTCCCTTGTATGTTTGAAGGTCTACAGCACTATTTAAGATGTTAATCACCAGTTGATGTTAGCGGATATTAGCAACCACCAGCAGATGTTAGGGTCATATCTTCAGTTATGTACTTAAGCGTCATCAGGTGTTTCTGCTTTTTAATCATAATGACGTTACAAGCCAAACCAGAGGGTAAAGGTAAATCTGACAGGGTGTAGCGGCGTAAAAGCTTCCTTGGACAGTGCTTGCTCAGGGTCTTGTGTTATTTTCCAGGACCTGATGACCATCAGCCACTGGTGTCTCTTCATGTCTCCTCAGAAGAGAAATCCTTTCATCACATTTCAAAGGTAAAGATTAATCGCCAGAATGTTTCTGTGTTTCACTGAAACCACATTAACACACTGTTTTTGAAAAAGAATCCACATGATTTGTCAGAGGAATCAGAGCAATGACATCAGCTACAATCCTCATGTACCCTGCAGAGATTTTGATGGAGACGCTGTTTGCTGACTGTTGTTTTTTGTTTGTTTGTTTTCTTGGAAGTTGAAAAGTTCTTGAATGCCTTGCCTCCCTCACAGTCTGTCACAGCATAATTGTGTAACAGAGGGTTTATTTCTCTGTTTTGACATCATGCATTCCAGTTAACCACATTGCACATCATCCCAGATTATCTCACATCAGGAACAAATAAATTAAAGTTATTTAAATGTCAGTGTACATTGATAAATGAGGGCCCTGGTGACCATTGTGTTTGAAAGAGTAAAGACACACCGGAACACTACTGCTATCTTCTTCCTTCTGATGTGGATATGACTGATATTCAAGCCCAGATGGTCTTCCTCCAGTAAACAATGAAAATATTTAATCCACATGTGATGAAATATCTTGTCATCTCCTGATAAAATAACCTGTTATACAGTATATACACCATACACATCTCTATCCCTGCAGAATTTCCATGTGAATATATGAATATTACATTCATATTGTGCTCTGAAGTACAAATAAAGACATTTTCATATCGCATCCTCTGCCTTTGTCCCCTATGATTTAAAAAAACAAATGAGGATGGACCATGTTTTTTAATGTCAGAAAGTAACCATAGAAAAGTATAATTGTGTCCTTTTCCAGTGTAAATATCCCAAGTGTATGTTCCCATCACAGACGGCCACAGATCAGGCCTGATCCATAGGTCTAAAAGCAACGCTTTCCATACATGAATACATTCACGTTACAGCACCAAGTGACCACGTCAGTCAGCTGCACATTTTAGCTCCAATATTTATATTTTTATATCTACATGAGGACAGGTGCAGCAAGAGGAGCATTAGTAGTTTTGATACATTATGTTTGTGTATATACTGCAGTGTTAAGCTCATTAGCATAAACACAACAGACGCATCTACTCTCTGTCAGTGTCGTCTTAGTTCTGATGTATTGACCTCACACCAGTGTTCACAACCACAGCACACTTTGTGGTTGTGAACACTTTCCGAGCTGTAGTCTGTGAGGAGTATTAGAGCATGAGATTCTGCAGCAGTAGCTTAAGTCTTCATTTTGCTATGAATAAAGTCATTCGGGGATTACAACGAGCCAGCAGACCTGAGATCAGTTGGTAAAAAGTAATTAAAAGTAGCACAATAAATGTATCAAATTGTGAAAGAGAAAAAGTCATGACTAAACACTTTATGTTAAGTTCTTCAATAAGTAAGTAACAGAGTAAAATGTTTTGTTGTCCTGTAAACCTTCACAGCAGGGTGAGACCAAGGTGCTGCCTCTGGTGAAGCAGGAGAAAGTAGAAAGAGACAATTGCAACCTGGACCTCAAGGTGGAGGTGAATATCAGGGCAGAGTGTGGCCTGTCAAATGGTAAGTGCTTAATTAACCGTTACAGTATTTACTCTAGTTTGAACATGTTTATTCCTCTTCACAAAGATGTCAGGGTAAACTTAAGGATAAAGTAGAGGTTAACTGGTGCAACATTTAAACCTCGTCTGAACCAAATTTACCGGTTGAATAATGAGTTATCTGATGAGTTTTAAACATGTAAACCCTTCTACCTTAAGCCATGAAACTAAAAGAGAAACTCAAGAGAACTTCAGATATTTACCATAGTAGCAAATGTAACAGACACATCTGCTTTCTGTTTTATACATGCTTCTCCCCCAACAAGCTTTGCAATTAGTTTATCACTTGAGGCACCATATTAGCACCCTTAAACAAACCATCCAATCAGGATGAAGCATTCACCCACTATGAAGCACTAAAGGTATGAATCTTCGCTAGCCTCACAATTCGATTACGATTCACTAGTCAACACTTCGATGTATCTTGATGGATCTCGATTTATCACATCCTCAATTTTCTATATTGCTGCACATAGCTGCTCTTTTATCAATTAATACAATACAATCACTGTTATTTAATGTGTGCTGTAATTTACAAAATAAGGTATTCAATTAAAAAATCAGACTGCAGTCTAAGCCTTAAAAAGAAACCTTTGATTGTAGCCTTTACTGTATCAGTGTGGTCTCAAAAGGGATCTATTGGCAGTTGTCGTGTAATGTTGAATCCGGCTCAAATTGAGGTTTTTTTACCCTAGAACAGGCCCTTTATGTTTAAATACTCTATATTTACATCTGAAGTGGGTCCACGCTACGGAGGCAGCCATGTTTTTTTTATAAAAAACTATACACACTTAACCACTTGACCCCACCTGGCCCCCCCTTAGCAGCACCACTGCACTGAGGCACATGACTCCACTGGTCAACAAGGGACTCTGCTCCTCTATATCTATCTATCTATCTATCTATAAATATATGAGATTAATTGATTATGTTCTGTCTCTGCATGGATGCAGAGTCGTCCATGTCGTGATGCAGCTAAGACTCAAGAAATGTCCACAGCTCAAGTGCTTAGGAGACGTGGAGGGAGGGTAGATCTCCCCACCTAATATTTAGATTTTTAATTTAATCAATATATTTGTTGACAGGGAAGCTGTACACAAACAGAATATAATTTATTAAAAAATAAATTAAAAAAGCACACAAACTCACATCACATTTATGTAGTTAGTAATTGATAATTGATGTTGGATTATGAATCCAGATCACTCTAGTCACTCTAACCCTAATATCTTGGCTGTGTGAGTCTTGTGTTGTGTGTGGCAAATGTTGGACTATTTTTGTGTTTGTGTTAAAAAAAACAAAAATTAATTTAGACCCAGGTCCCTGTAGTGGAAATGAAAAGTTCTTTCATAGGTTCCTACTTCCTGAAGAAAGCTCCTGCTGTGGAAACACAGCTGAATTGCCAACAAACCAAAGAGTTTTAAGATGCTCAACAATCAGATCATGAACTCATTTCATCAAAAAGTGAAACCTCACTCACAAAGTTTAATCCAGATTTGTCCCCAAGTCTGATTCACTCATATACTCATGTACATTGAGCTCTCCAAATTCACTTTATCTGTTCTCTGAGTTGTTCCTTTTTCTTAAAATCCACTCACGCTGTTGCTCTGTGACTTTCTGCACCTCCTCAGCCCTGGAGCCCAATGAAGAGATCCCCCGCGGTGATGTTGGTGACACTAGTATCACCAACATCACCCCTTCAACCCCCTCCACCAAGCAACCCTCTTCCTCTCCCACTGACTCCACAGTGGATCTGACCTGCCCGCCACGAGGCAAGCATAAAGCCACCGAGGCCCCTGGAAACAGTTTGGCAGACAGCAGTGGGGGCCTCCCGGCCCCTGAAGCTGCTCGCAGGGAACTTGGAGTGAGCCTTACAGATGGTGCTCTGAAGCCAGAGATCCAGACAGATGATTGCATGGAAGAAGAACTTCATCCCTCTCAGCTGTCAGCCCCTGTAGCATCAGATGAGCCCAGCCCCGACCGCCTCCACAGCCTGGGCCTTGACCTGGTCTGGATGCAAGAGAGGGTAGGCCATCTTGGTGCAGCGTATGCGGTAGCACAGTTGGGTTTGGGAAACACAGAAACTGGACACCCCTCTGCCTCTTTTTCCTCACAGGGAGGAGGAGACAGTTTAGATTGCCCTCCAACTATTCTTTTCACAGGTGGAGCTCATGAAATGGCTGCTTTTGCTGCCTCTTTTGACATGGCGGCTGCAGCCGCTACTGCTGCTGCTGTTGTCACTGCCCCACCTCCACCCCCTCCCCCATCAGCTCCTTCTGCCATACCGACCAGCCATAGGCGGCCTTATAGGAGCAGTGCTGCCTCTTCTAAAGATCCTGTGTCATGTGCAGTTTGTGGTCGTCTCTTCCCAAGTGCAGCAGCCCTGGAGCTGCACCAGCGGGTGCACTCAGGGGAGAGACCCTACACTTGCCCTCACTGTGGGAAGGGCTTCGCCCAGCCCAACAACCTGCGGGTCCACCTCCTCATCCACACTGGGGAGAGGCGCTATCGATGCACACTGTGCGGGAAGAGTTTCATCTCGTCCAGCCACCTGAAGAGGCACCGCACAGTCCACACGCAGGAGAAGCCCTACAGCTGCTCGCGCTGTGGACAGTCCTTCAGCCAGATGTGTAGTGTTCGCAGACATCGGCAGCAGTCCCAGTGTGGACTGTAGACTTCCCCCCAGATGGGGTGGATAAAATCTTAAACTGATGGGTGAATAACTCAAATCCCTTTATATGGGAATTCATGCATCTTATGTAAGCATGAGCAAACAAGAGAAGGTTGTATTCTGTGATATCATGACATGTAGAGTTTATATATGTCCTAGACCATAGCAGTAACATGTGAACTCTGTTTTAAGGTGGCTTTCCCTTTCAGACCCTCAACCTTTTCCTCCTCTATGCTTCCGACAGAGGATCACAGAGTGGACTGTAAAAGAGTGCCTCAGTGTCGACACCACTCAATCCATCCTTTTATCATGAAATGGTCATGTTTATGACTGACTATCTGGTTTACAGAACTTACACACACTTGTGCGGGTCATGGAGCTGATGGTCATGGTTTATCTTGGATCATTTTAGCTGATGCTTTCCACTGACCAGGCAGTCAAACGGATTGAACACAACCCTATTCTGACCACCTGACAGCTCTGTGGTATTTCAGTTGACCTGTGAAATTGACTTAAAATCCATCAAACTTTTACCACATTTGAATCACAAATATCTAATCTCGCCTTATTCAACTGTGGTTTCATATTTCCAGACAGTTCCAGCTGTCTGTTTTAGAGCTAATCACTCAAGTGTGCAAAGGTTTTTCAGTTTTTTGACTGGAAGCAGGGAGGACACGTTAGCTCAGTTAGCTTAGCTCAGTTAAAAGAGAAACACCTACACATTCCAACAACTCTGAATGCTGCTTTTATTTTATGCAATCATCACATGTTGTGATGAAAAAGTGGAAAATGTGACATCAGGAGCATGTGGCTGTTTGTGAGCGGAGGGATGACATCACACAGTGTTGCTAAACTCACAATATTTATTTATTTATTTATTCATTCATTTTATTTGCAAGGGACATTGTACAAAATAGAATATAAATGTGCACTTGATCTGTTTAACCAGAGTTAGCTTAAAGGTCGTCTGAATATGCAAAGTGAAAAAAACAACACTGAAATAACAGGACACAATACAAAATTACACACAATGGTACATCTTTCTCATACACACCTGTGCACACACACTCACATGCAGCTATCTCTGAATGTTCTCTGTTTTGTTCCTTGTTAAAGGGGGTACTCTTGTTGAGGGTTAGGTTCAGAGGATATTGCACCTTGTTAAGCCCCATGGGAGAGATTTTGATTCGTGGATATTGGATAAAACAACCTGTCCAAACTAATCACTACTGGTTGAGCCATGCATTGATTGCAAAGAAGGTCATTTGTCCTTCATATTAAACTCAGCAGTTATTCCACACACATAAATGTTTAGTTGTTCTGTTTTTGTGATTCAAATTCCTATTGATTTCCTTCAGTGTTTGTACAGTGTCTTTTACCATATCTCTCATATACTCATACAGTTTTTTGAGACAAACTAACACTTTGGAAAAAGATTTGTCCACAGTAGCATTAAGACTCCCTCACAAATTCTCTCATGATAAACGTTTCAGCTACTTAGATATTAGCTTACATACTTCAAAGAGTTTCCTCACATCTGCTTAAAACTGTCTGATAAAGCTATAACTCTTCATGTCATCTGGTCAGACTTTCCACTCAGTTGTGACTTTCACATAGAATGTTTAATGCAGAGCAATGAACATGTAAAGCACAATCTGCTATTGATGATTTTTCTAAATTTTATGAACCAAAAGTAAACAAAGTCACATACTGGCGGAGGGGCTATGCCATTTGAATTTTTATACACTAGTGATAAACTTGATTATAACCTGAAAACTCAATAGGGGCTGTTTTTCCAGTATCCTACAGAGAAAAACAGTGAGCAAAAATATTTAAATATGCCAAACATTCTCAGATTCTATCTTTTGACATGACTTGTACAACCTTTGACATGTGAAAGACCAAACAATCGTTAATTGCTTGAGATAAATCTGCACAATAATAGGAATATTTTGGTGTAACATTTTTTCGTTTTTACAGGGACTCAGGAGTTCTTTTGAATTATGATCTAGATCAATTATTACGCCAAGATATAAGTTCAGCAAAAATATTAATTGTTTTACCTTTAATGAGAATGCCACCAATGTAGAGCTGTGCAGCGCCTTTTCCAAAAGTGCTAACAAGACAAACGTTTTGTCTTTCTAATGTCCAGATTAAGACATGATACAACACAGTCAGCGGCATACATTTGCACCCGTATGCACTCTAGTAGGATATCATTAATGAAAGACTACATAAGAGGGACTTAGAACTTTTGGTTTATGGACAGAGCACCATTAACTTGAGTATGTTGTGAGATAAACTGTTGCTGTAGATGAAAAATTCAACATAAAAAGTTAAGAAATGAGAATGTCATGGCTAATGGTGAAATGCTTCATATCAAATACAACACCAACTCCTCATTTTCTTTTATTTGCTGTGTTAGGTGTAAGGAAGCTGTTCCAGTGGAACAGGGAAGCCTGTCCTGACCAGTACTGTCAATGAACCACAGTTTGAGATTTATTGGATACCAATTTGGTATTGAATAAGAACAACTCTGGAGTTGTTGGGAGATGTTTTCTGATGACACTAGTTGTTTCTAGTCTTTTTGCTGGACCTATCTGCCTTTATTCAGAATGAAAGAAAACACAACTCAAATGTCAGACTTCCTTTAAAGCACTTTAAATGTCCCCATAAAATCCTTAAAGCCATGATACACAGTTTGTTCCTCATAATGTATTTGTCCTATACAGAGCCACCTGCTGTTGAATGGTAAATTATTTCTTAAATCAACCTTGTAATGCAGACCTGCACTTTCTCATGTATGATTGAGTTCTGTTTATATGTTGTGTTCTGAAGATTGCATCTGTCACACTAATTGTCAGTATATACAGTATGTATGTATATGGAGGGGAACATATAATGACACCCCTCTGCTGCTTTGTTTCCCCAGCTAGGCAGTGAGATGAGAATATTTCATTTTTTTGGATACAAAACGCAGTTGAAGTTGACTTTCAATTGTTTAAACCTGTTCACAGGTTGAAGCCTAAGCTGTTTTTTCATGTTCATTTTTGTTCTCAATGAAATATTAAGGAACTGACTGTAAAATGATGCAGCGTAAAACATATATATCGAAGGATTGTGTTTTTATGTGTTGGTGTTTGGATGTCATTGGCACTAGCTGTAGGGTACACAGCTATAACAAATATTTTGTCATTTATTATTCTTTCATGACCTGTTCCAGTGTTTAAAAATGTATAGGTATCATTAAACATGTTTAATTGGTTTGCAATGAATCTGCCTGTGCTGTGGGCATTATGTCTGTGCTGTAATCTTTCAATAATCTGCACTACTCATGGAATCTGTTTTGTTTTCTGATGTTCAGATTTAAACATGCTGGCAGGAGGGGAGTTATTTGTCGAGGAACGAGGTCATGTACACTATGTTTTTAGCCTAAATGTCTGTTGCTATCCACATGCGAACGTGGCTACGGAGGAGGATAACAGTGGATATTTAAAGTCAAAGTGAACTTTGTTGTCATCCAGATCATACAACAAGAAGCCACAGCATAACGAAATTGCATTTCTCCCAGCTCCATCTGCAAATGCATTATGTCTGTGCTGTGATGTTTTAAAATCTGGACTACTCATGGAATCTGTTTTGTTTTCAGATGTTCAGATTAAAACAAGCTGGCAGGAGGGGGAGTTATTTGTCTTTCAAATGACAAAGTAACTGATGTACAGTATGTATGCATCTGTTTTGCCCAAGTGGTGTTCGAAAGTGAAAAACTAAATTAACCACAAATGTACAGGTTTTATGTAACAGCAGATGTCCTCCGCTTGTTATACTACAGTGAAAAAAGATACTAAATAAATTCTGTGCAAATAATTTACATAAGTGTGAACGCAAAGTGTGTCTGCTCTTATTTCAGACGTCACTCACAACAGCCAAGCAGATGAGTAACTTAGTCATCTCTCTCTCTTACACCACACACATGAACAAAACAAGGAACATTCTCTCTTACCACAAATACAAAAATCTGTAAGCAATATGATGTGAATATGCTGGATAGCTCCCTCAATCTTGTTGGAATGAAATTGTTTTGTTTCAATTAGTCCACTGCAGCTCAAAAGGAAAGACCTTGGAAAAATAAAGTAGGGGTTTTCCACTTTGATGTGTCTTAACCCAGGTGAAACACAAGAGGACGGGGCAGACAATCACAAAGGCGGCAAACTACACATAAATAGGAAGAAAAACAACCAGCCCCACAATGGAAGGAATATTAAAATAAAGCAGGAAATAAGTTCAAAGAGTTCACATGCTCAAAGAGTCCCTGTAGGGTCCTTAAAACTGCTTTCAAATATGCACTGAACTCTGGAGATTCTCTGCACTTTCTCCAGAGGAGGTGCATGTGTGAACACAAATGCAGGATTGAGAGCCTCCGGATTATTGGTGCCTGGCCCCCTAGTATACATTCTGCAGAAAGTCGGGAGAATCCGATGTGAGAACACAGCAGGAGATCCTCTGCGGCATTTTAGAAGATATGAGTTTATGGGAGCTGAATATATATGTCTGCCTTAAATTCAGGCAGGTTTGGAATTTCTGACATTTCCATCCCAGTATACACACACATTAAATTACACTGTTTGCCATGACACTGAGACTCAACTTATTTTCCCAAAAATGTTAGTAGCAGGCCTACTAGTAACTAGTAACCCTTTAAACGATAAAACCCAGTCTCTATCACGCAGTAACTCGATTTCCCACAGGTGTATCACCATCGTCATTCATAATTTCCGCTCAGCATTTGTCCGCTTTGCTTCATCACATCAGTCCAGTAGGTGGCGGTTATGATAAGCCATTTCAGCACTTAATCAAATCACACTCCTATTAATCCACAATAATTATCTAAATTGGTACTAGTCAGCATTACATTCATAATGTGTCAAAAATCCTTAAAAACTGAATTGTCATAACTTTAATTTATGATGTCTCCAACAAAGATAAAAGGATTTCGTTTGTAAATCTCTCAATCTTGTTACTATCTGTGGAAAAGCAATATAAACATTGTCCTGTCTGTGTGCATCCCATTCTTCAAAATAAAAAATGAAAATTTCCCAATCCAAGAGCTTAATGGAAGATAGGAAGTTTAAAACTTTTCAGAGTGGATCATGTTTGACCTTTTTCTGAGAAACATTGCTATGAGTATTAAAAAACAGAATCTGTTGCGAAGGCATCTCTACTTTGAATCAGCTGGGCATCTTTGAGAGGTACTCAGCAGGTATATGACCTGTGGTGTACTTCCGGCATTTGAATTTGTTTTGTTTTTTTCATCTCTGTGCACTGCAGACACACTTGAAAAGATAGGTGTGCCGTAACATATATGTGCTGTGACAGTGTTGCTTTTGGTTGTGAGCACCTCTATCGACAATAATACATTTGTGCAGGCAAAAGGCAAATCACTTGAATGGCCCCTTAATGATTTAAAAATTAGAAATGGGGTCCTCGCACCTCTTCAGGCTGTGGGTGTTGAAAGTGACCAAACAAAACTGCAGAAACTGCAGCTACTGTACCCGCCTCCTGTCTGAAAAGTACCTTGATGAACTAACGGAGTAGAACATGCACTGTGCATGAGGGCATAAAGTACATTCTAATGACCATCAATCTTAATAATCCATATATTAAACTGTTAGATAAAAAAAACACATAATGGGCTCAATTTAGACCATTAGAGGTAACACAAGATGACATTCATACCTGTATACCATATCATAGCATGATTAAAAATAAATAATCTATAAGGACACACAGTTAAGCATGAAATGGAAATTAACCTAAACATTAAAAGTGATGAAAAATGTATGTGCAATTTTAACACACCTTTTTTTATAGTTCTTATCATGTGATATATTCTGGTTTACTGAATAAAAGAAGCTGGGAAAATCATTCTCTGGCCGTTTAACGTTTATTAACCGGATATGACGCAATATATTTTGAAGCGGTGCTTGTCGACAGATGAGAAGCCACCAGAGTTTAGCCATCGTTGCCTGCAAACATTTAGTACGTTGGTTTTCCACCGTTGCTGTTATGGTTTAACCAAACATACAATATTCCCTATCCCCACCAGAGGAGTTAGACTGTATTTTCACCGACTGAGCAGCTAGCGAGCCACTGACTGCGGGAACAATGACCAGCCGTCTGGCCTTCCAGACTCAGCTGGCCTCCATCATGGAAGTCCTGGCTAACGCTGCCGTGGCGGAGATCTGTAAGCTGGTAGACGATGATTATGCCGTGGTGAGTTTGCAGATGTCCCAGTGTCAGAGAGAGAACAAAGCCCTGAAGAGGAAAGTGCACCTACTTGAACTGAAGATGGCGAGAGGGAACGCCGAGCGGAGGCTCCGAGAGAGCGTCACGAACTGTAACCGACCGAGGGTGCAGATAAACACCGGCGACAGGCGCCGGGAGTCCCCGACGGCCACCGGTGAGATAAGAGATAGTATTCAATTCACCGTTTTCACGGCAGTCATTTTAACATCAAATAGTAGACCAATACAGATTTTAGTGATCACATCCATTCCAGTTCTGCTCTATTTAGAGGGTTGGGCTTGTAGTTACCTACTATTTCATGTCAAAATGGCTGCCGTGAAAGTGATCTATTCGATTCATTCAGTTTTAATTGTATAGCACCAGACCACAGTAACATTATCTTGAATACAGCAACTTCTAAATCTGTAGCAGTTTTTTACAATCAAACACACCTCAAGCTGGTGTGCGTATGCTCATATGTCTTTACCCTTGTGTGTGCGCTTAGTGCGTGAAAAAGTTGAAAAGGTAAACACTGAAGATGTTTAAAGATGCTGTGTGACCAGTTTCACCACATTGCGTTGTTGCATTTGGAGATGACACTGTGTTACCACTACGGGAGAGACAGACATTTGACAGAGTTGGCCCCCTCACTATTCTCTATGCAGGTCACTGACAATTTCCACTGTTGTTATTTCTAAACACACATTTGTCTGTTTTTTATGTAGGTGGAGTGTTTGAGCGGCAGATGGATATCCCTCTGTGGTCTGACAGAACTGTCACACGCAACACACTCAGCCAGGCAAACCATTCTGACAACATCCAAAGTAAGGTAAGCACACCAAGTGATCGAACTGGGAAGCTATTCTGACATGTGCATATATTGTAGCTGCAGGAATATGAAACAGGCTCTTACTGACAGAGTGGTAAATTTCTCTGTTGTGCAGTCTCCAGATGTGGAGCTGGTGGAGCCAGATGCAATATTGGTAAAGGAGGAGATGGTGGAAGCGAACATGTTACGCATTGAAGAAACAGAGGACGTGCCACTTATAGGAGATGATGGTGAGTATCGACAGACAAAGGTTTTCTCAATTGTCAAAAAACGAGTTGGGCGCCAGACAGGACTTCTTAACCTGTCAATTAACTAAAATATATTGTTGCAGAGCTAACCTCGGTAGTTTGTTATACTAGTTACCAAAAGGGATCAAAGGCAAAGGAATCACAAGTGTGTAGAATTTTGTGATATCTAGTGTTGAAATTGCATGTTGCAGCTGAACAAGAACAATGAAAAAGAACCTGTGGTAGCCTTTAATTGTCATAAAAACTCAAAAGGTGTTTAGTTTGTCCAGTCTGGACTAATGTAAAAAACATGAAGGCCTTCGTAGAGAGGGTCCCCTCAATGTGAATATAGTATTTAGCTGCGAGAACTAATGTGAATTGCAGGACACATTGATCATCGACACTTCGAACGCACCTTGCGGCCCCGGGTTCCTCCCGGGGCTACGCCTGTCTGAGGGTCGCTTTTTCATCACTCGGAGACGCTCCCCCGCGTCTCCGCAGCTGGGGCTGTCGCAGGGGAAATGGTTTTTATGTTGTATTCAGTTCAGTTGTATTCATTGGAGAGGGTTTGTTGTGAGTGGAAAATGAAGGTAATGTGTGCGTTTGAGGGGGTTCCTTCAATCTCCATGTAGAGTGAAGTTTCAACTTGGCCCCTGAGCTGAGTTTTAATGATTTTCAGAATAATTTTAACAATGCTAGCCTCTGTGAGAGTGGATTTCCATATTTTTCAGAGAGCACTATAAGATTAAGCAAAGTCTCTGATGGTTTATTTCTCTTTTTTGTTTCCGGTTGAGACACGCTCAGCTAGCTCGTCCATTATCAGCTAAATGGTTTCAAATCGGCTTGAGCTGTTTACAGTTGATCAGGCAGTTTCCCACCAGTTGCTAGCAGTCCCATGGAGTACAGTTCTGAAGGTGGCCAGATCCATCCATCAGATAATCGACACAAAGCAAGAAAGTCATGGTATTTTAACAAATAAGTGAGGAGATCAGTGTCATCATTCGACACTCCATAGGTAGGAAAAGTCAACCTGATATGATCACTGTTAATCATAGCTGAGGTTGAAGCTGCAGCTGTAGATGGTTTCTCCAAAATATAAACACTAGAGCTTGAAGGAGACAGGGTAGATTTGGCTTCTAGATTCCAGCTTTTTTCCAGACAGCCAGTTTTCTATTCAAGACTGTAACAGTTCTTTACTTTCCATCTCTAGTTTTGCAAGGTTGGCAGTCACATTCATTAGCTCAGTGTTACATGCTTGAATTTCTCTGATAACTTGCAGATTAATTCTTCAGCAATTGTGTAAAAACCTTTGAATTTACACTTAAAGTTATTCCACCATAAAACTGATATCTGACAGAAGGGAAGTCTCAGAATTTTCTCAACACCATCAGTTTGACCCCCTCACTATCTTATCCATATCTGTTTCCTAAGGATGATTTGCACTTACTTTTTCTTTCCAAACACACTGTCAGCTCTTTAATGGCAAGACTTTGTCCTTCCATTTCTTTATGCATTTTGTCCAAACCCACTTAGGTCTTTACTGCTATTTGATTCAAGTCCAGAGCAAGAGTAGAGATTACTATTCGAAGTTTACATTGGAGATGGAGAGGAAGCTGTAAGATTCAAAAGATTTCCTGCATCAGGTGAAGAATGCATAGCCTCAGCTTCCCAAGCAAGAGTCTAATTTAAACTAGGGCTTGGCGATATGGCCTAAATAAATATCGCAATATTTTTAGGCTATATACGATACACGATATATATCTCGATATTTTGAAATCTCCTCTAAATCACTGTAAAAATGTTAAATTCAACCCTTTGATGCGCATATTTCACCAGAATGGTGATTCAAGTAGACCCTTCTATTTTTTTTATTTGCATGCAAAAAGGGGAAAATCACAATCAAGTTACATTTAGCAAACTTTTTATTTTTAACCATGCAGCTGCACTCATGAGATTTTAATAAATTAAAATAAATAAGGTAGGCCTTCCTATTGTTGCTTAGTTCTCAGAGACTGTTAAAAAAGAGAGATCAAAGCAACAAAAAGTGCCTTCAACAAGAATCCTTGAGAAAGATATTCAATACCATATAAGTTAAAGTGCACTTTTTCTATCTGACCATGTTTGTAACAAAGGTTAATTTTAAAAACGGTAAATAGAAAATAGCATTGTCTGCAAACCACAGAGGCAGAAGTCCAGGCTGTGACTGTGAAAACTTCGCTGAACAATAACATTCACATCACAGGAGGAGTGGGAGTGTTTCAAACAGACATTAAGTAAACTTCATTAACTGATCCGGGGTCTCATTTATAACCGTTGCACAAAACGGGGCCTGACACAAACGTTTATAAAAACAAACGTGACAGGAAAAATTGTGCATTTCCACACAAACTCTGACCCATGCATACGAACAGTGGTGATGCAGGAGGTGAACTGAAGCAGATTTTTGATCCACTTCATCATTAACATTAAAACCAGCACCTTAAGTTGTGCTTGAGCAACATAACTATTCCATAAGAACCTTCAATTGCAAAAGATATAAAACAAGTTACAGCAAACACTGTGTGTGTATCATCAAGGACATGTGTGTTTAAAATCGCTGTAGTGAACATGACCGTGCCATCAGGCGCACAGAACGCACTGGAGATCACTCACAAAAATAAAGAAAAACAATTTACTTTCAAACTTCTATTTCCAAATAATGTCCCAGAGTGGAGGTTAGGATCCACAGTGTGAAGAAATCAGTCCGATGGCTCTAAATATATAAATACTGTGGTGACACTCGTGTAATGCTGCGTGATGGATGCACACGAATGGAAGGATGATGAGGAAACAAGGGTTCAGTCATGACTGATCAGCTGATATAGATTCTATAGATCTGTGATCTTTGTACCATCCCAGTACAAACACAAGCATATAATAATAATAATAATTCTTTTCAATTGTATATATTGGGGACCAGTGTTGTCACGGTAGCAACATTTTGGTACCGGTACCAACATGTATTTCGATACTTTTCGAGAGCGAGAGAGAGAGAGAGAGGCACTGTAGTTCCCACGACGACGACAGGCATGCTATCCGATTGTCGGATTTAGCTTCTTTCCCGATAAAAAAAGAAATGTTGGCCTTGCCACGCAGTTACAGCAGATGATAGATGGATTAACATCTTTAACCTACAGATGCCGCTATTCCACCTCATTGCGATGCAGCCTTATTTTAACCTACTGTCTATGCATGCGGGGATGTGGAATATTTATTTATTTATTTATTTTCGGGGGGACGTAGTCGTCAAGGCGGCCGCCTTAACTATAAAGCGCTGCGGGAAACCCTGAGTTGGAAGTGTTTCCACCCTTGGCCACACATGTTTTGTAACACCGTTTGCAGTGGTGCATCAGTGTTAATGCTTTCACCGTGCTCATTTATTTTCAAGCTGAAGTAATTCCATGTAGCACTTCTCGCACCTGGTTTATCTACGAGTTGCGGCATGGTGATGGTTGCAGCAGCTGCCATTCTCTCTCTGCTCCTGTCTCTCTTTCTCACCTTTATCTCTCTCTGTCGCTAGACTCCTGCTCCGTTTGCGGCTGCTCGCTCGCCTGTTTGCCCACTCGTCCCGGCTTTCTCGCTTCGGCTCAAATTGGTGCGCAGCGACGTAAAAAAAAAAAAAGTACCAGTCTTATCCAAGTGCTGTATAGTACCATTTTAAATGCATCAGTACCCCGGTACCAATTTAGTACCGGTATACCGAACAACCCTATGATGGGGACATTACAGCTTTCTCTGAATTTAATAATCCTGCAATCAGTGTATTTTCTTTATTAATGACATCACTGCTGTAGCCACCAAAGAATCTCTTTCTTCACCTCCACCTCCCTAACAAACACCTCGATGTCAGTGTCATAAAAGTTTCGCTTCCTCTTATTGCTTGATGCAGGGACTCTGTCATGACTCACTGTGGAGACCAATTGTAATTTCATATTAATGAGGTGCTTTGCATTGACTATTTTATAGTTGAATGTAGGCCTGTAGAGGGCGGGATATGAGGCCTCCAAGTACAACGTTTCCAGGTGCACTGTGATTTATAAAGTGAACATTACGTTCACTCATGTAATAGTGTGAATGCTGAACACTGCATTCAGCTGTGCGTGTGTGCGGTTTTATAAGTCAGAATTTTCTTTTGGTATGAATCCCACGCACTGTTTCATAAATGAGATCACAGGTCCTGTCTATTAGTAGTGTTTATAAGTTAAAGTGAGAGTAGGTCAGTGTGGAGGAGGACACAGAAACTCCAGCTCGGTACTAACCAACCTTCTGATCATTGAGCAGCTATGGATCATAGAGGAAACTTTATTTTTATATTATTAATGTTCTTCAAAAAAGTCACTTACCGGCTTCAGGTGAATGCTCCTCTGATCTCACTGTGTATGTCGCTCTGAGCAAGTGCGTGTGTGTGTAAACTCCAACTCATTCCGACCCCACGCAGCGTTCACTCTCTCACCACTCACATTCACGTTAATCATTTGTAAACTTATTCATTTCGTACAGCGTTCACAAATAATTTTAACAGCGCTTTCCATAACCATCTCTGAACTCTCATAAACTTGCTTGGGCTCTTAACTTTTTCTCGCTTTCTCCACACTCTTTTCCCTCCTCTCCTGATACAAAATGCATGCAGAAGACTTTTTTGGATGGGCAGGGGAGTGAGCTGTCTGCTGTGAGACAGGCATTAGAAAAGAGCATGAGGAGCGAAACTCCAAAGAGAATTTCATGCTGATGGCTTAAAACATTCACCTGACAATTTATACTCGATGGTTGCACTGTAGTAATATAATACATCTCACATGGAACAATACATCGAGTATATTTGATATATTGCTCACCCCTAATTGAAAGAATGCACATATTCCTTGTGAGGGGAATTTCTGGGCTGGCCAGAGACATTAGATGTCTGTACTTGAGGATGATGTGGAGATGGGAAGTAAGTCTGTAAATGTGTACTAAATATTCGGTTTGCACCAAAAGTGTGTGTAGGAGTATTAACATCAGGATCTTCTTTGCCAAGAGAAACTGACAGGGAAACTGAGGAAGGCTGTGGTTTAGTCATAATGGCATGTCGTGTGTGCTCTTTATCTCTGAATGAATTGTGGGGAATGTTATGTTTCACAAAATGTAATATTAACAGTAATTCTCAGAAATCAAGTTAACTACAATAGCAGTCCAAAACAAAACACTTGAAAATTGCATCAAAGGAAAAGGAATTACAAACAATCAATTCAGTTAATAATTAACAATGATTTGAAATTTGCAAGAGAGGGGGCAGATCTAATATGGAGTGGTAAGCTGTTCCACAAGTTTGGGGCTGCTACTGCAAAGGCTGGATCGCCTCTGGTTATGAGCCTTTTTTTAGGCAAGTCCAGGAGCAGCTGAGTGGCTGACCTCAGCTCTCTAACTGGATGTGAATATCAAGGAGTTCAGCTATAGGTAAGACAGTGCCAGTCCATTTAGAGTTTTAAAAGTTAACAATACATTTTAAAATCGATCCGGTGATGAACAGGAAGCCAGTAGAGGGAGCGCAACACAGCTGTAATATGGTCCCTCTTTTTCTTTCCTGTCCGGAGGCAAGCAGCTGCATTTTGGATAAGCTGCAGGCATTGATTAGATCGCTAGTCTAAGCCCACTTACAGAGAATTACAGTAGTTAAGTTGAGAAGTTATGAAGGCATCGATCATCCTCTCTAGATCTTTAAGTGAGAGGGGCCTTTACCTTAGCTATAAGTATCAACTAAAAGAAAAACACAAAGAAAAAAAACTGAACACCAAGGGGGGTTAACATCCAGCAGTTCAGGGTGTCCAAACACAATAACCTTAATCTTGATTTCATGTAGTTTGAGGAAGTTTAAATTCATCCATGATTTAATGTTATTGTTAACAGGGGCTGCAGTGAACTCTTAGTTTTAAAATTCAAGGGCAAGTATATTTGAAAATCATCCGCGAGGCAGTGGAAAGAGACATCATATTTCTCAAAAACTGATGCTAGGGGCAACACATAAAAGGAGAATAAGATGGAGCCTAGAATGGACCATGAAGGCCGCCCCTGAGGAGTAAGCACCCAGGTGGACAGAGAAACTCCTATCTGTTAGGTAGGGCAAAAACCAATTCAATTAAATTGTATTTGTATAGTGCCAAATCATAATATACATTATCTCAAGGCACTTTACATATAAGGTCAAGAACTTAAAATCTTATGAATATAGAGAAACCCAACAGTTCCCACAATGAGCAGCACTTTAACGACTGTAGAGAGGAAAAACTCAGTGCAGCACCTTTAATTCCTACACAATAAACGTGACAGGATTGAGTGATCAACGTTGTAGAAAGCAGACGTCTGGTCTAACAGAACCAGGATGGCGTCTCAGAGTCTCCTGAATCAACAGTTGAAATCAGATCGATTAAAAAAAGAGATGGAGTCAGAATCAGAAGTACTTTATTAATCCCCGTAGGGAAATTAAACAGAGATATGAAGAAGAATCATGGCTCCTACATGTCTTCTCTTCGGGTTCATATCACAGTGATGTGCTGCTGTTCATGTTAAATCACTGTTACAAAGTTTGCAGCTAATGTTAATCTGAAGGCTTTAATGTAAAGTGTTCTCACTTTTGACGACTTGTCTCTGCTGTATCTTAGCGGTGCTTGTCTCCACCATTTTTCAAACGTTGACTCCAGAGAAGAGACGACGCTGTCAGGTGAGCTAAACAAAGCATGGGATTGGCTGGTTTACTGCCCCAACCACAGGAGATGCCACAGTGGGGTGGCATGTATTATAACATACCAGACTGATCGGTTACTAAATTAGCTGCTAACTTTTTGTTTGTTGCAGCCCTAATAAGATATTATGTTTGTTCAGGGGGAAACGGTTTGTATGTTGTATTCAGTTCTTCGTAGTCCGACCCATGGAGAGGTAGGTAGACATGTTTGTGTGTGCTTGGATGTCTATCTTTAGTTATGAAGGCCAATTTTTGTTCATTACCATCATTATGAGGGCATTTTGGCTGGTCCTCAGAAATTCAATGGGCTGTTTGAGGGTTAAGACTTGGTTTTAGGGTTAGAATTAGGTCAGGGTTAGGCTTTTAGTTGTGATGGTTAAGGTGTGTTTGTTTGAGGGGGTGATTTAACCAGAGGCAAAGGGAATAGGGGAAGCCAGGAGAGTTTCATTATGGAGACAGACTTAGCTTTTTTTTTTTTTACTTAAACCCGGACAGAGACGATCCCAGCCCAATCCAAGCAGGTCAGACAGATTTTTAATCCACTTCATCAGGCTCAAGGGATCAGCTCATTTGCCTCTTTGTCCAGGAAAATTGTGAGAAACCAGCTGGTTTGAAACTGCCAAACCATCTTCTTAAATGTTTGTCACTTTTCTTCCTCTTTTAACAAATATGTCCAAGAACTGGTTTATCTTTAAAATTATCTCAATCCTTCAGATCTCTTCCATGCTGCCTTTGTCTGATTTCCCCCCTCCTTTTGGCTAACAGTTGTGTCTAGCTTATCATATCTCTTTTTTTCTCCTTACTGCTACACTGTAACATGTGCATATGAGTCTATTCCTTGTATAAGCTGAGTCTGACAAATTAATACTGTACTCAGGTTTGAATTGGCTCTTGTGTTTTTTATATTTGAATTTAGAACTGGTAGATAATTCATTGGTAGTCAAACACTCCTGTTAGAATCAATTTATACTTCAAATGAAAATGATCTTTTCTGCTTTTTAATATAAGTTCTCGTTGCTCTTCGTGGGCGTGTCTTCCCATCTTTATTTAAGCGCATGGTCTATTTAATTCCACAGCACTGTTTCTTCATTTCTTGTTCAAATGTTTTAAAGTCCCTCCAAACCCTGGCCTCTCTCAAACATTTCTTGAAATCTGCCTGCACTCATATATGCTGTTGCTGCAATTATGTCCTGTGCTTCAGTTTTAGTCTTTCTCCATGTGCTCCCCATCTGCTCTCAGATGTATGCTTTTATTCCTGTCACACTTTTTCTGAGTTTAGTCATTATGGAAAAAGGACAAATATTCCATGGTAGTAGCTTCTCTCTGTTGGTCTGATACTCTCAAAACCTGCAAGGAATGTGGGAAGTGAGCACTGAACTCAAGTAGCATCCCTCAATAGCTAGGGTTGGGGTTTGTTTGTTAGGGCAAACAACAGTTAGCACAATGTTACTGTGTCTGCAGTACAGGGTGACTGGTAGTTATTGTAGGCTTATGCTAGCAAACCACCATAAGTGGTTTGCTAGCATAAGCTTAGTTGGTATGTTTTCATGCAAAAATATTTGTTGACAGTCATCGGGTTAAGCTGGGTGGCAAACAACCAAGTGAAGTTGGAAACTTTTTGTTCATCCTACCTGGTTTGTCTGCTGTGAAGAGTCAATGTTTTTCATACAATGAAAAACAAATTTGCTAATTCAGTTAATCTTATTGCGGTTGTACTGACCAAAATGCTTGTGTAAGAAAAATTGTCACCATCAAGAGACAGTGTTTTAAACTTTTTTCTCCATCCCTTACCCCATGTTGTCTCTTTGAAGGAGTGCTGAAACGTGTCCATCGTGAAGTATCTGGGGAGAGACTGAGGCTTGAAGAGCAGGATACCCAGATCCAAATCAGCAGGACCAGGCCTACAGGCAGCAACTGCAACAGCAGCAGAGGAGTGGAGGTCAGTGACTCCTCTCCTCTTCTTAACTGTGAACTCAGTAACTCTGTTGAGGATAAAGACTCCCTGCAAGAAACCATAAACCCACAGCAGTATATCGATGACAGCGGGGACTCACAATTTGACGTGTTGCGTGACAATAAAAGTGCTAACTCGGTTGAGGAGTTTTTCGATGAGCCCTCAGGGTTTGGGGTGGCAGGACAGAGGCTGTCTTGTTCATACTCGATGGCGGCGGCTGATTTCCCATCGACCTCGTCAAATGTGGATGGTGGGGCTCGTTACGCCCCCGGTTTCCTGCTGTCCCTGCCCTTCAGTGACAGCCGCTCAGCACATCATCGAACCAGCACCAAGGAAAGACTGTTCGTTTGCAGTTACTGTGGCAAAGCTTTTAACCGGCCAAAGAAGGTAGAGATCCACCAGCGTATCCACACAGGGGAGAAGCCTTTCAGCTGCTCAACATGCGGGAAGATGTTCTCCGAGGCTGGGAACCTGAGGAAACATCAGCGTGTCCACACTGGAGAGAAACCGTACAGCTGTGGGATGTGTGGCAGAGGATTCGCCTGGATAAGAAACCTAAAAACACACCAGCAAAAGAGCCATCCTGAAATTTGTACTGAAGAAGAGACCCGGTAACAAACCTAAACTGTCCTCTGAGACAGAAAAGACTTTCTGCTCAACAGAATGGATATAAACACTTGTCTTTAAATCAGATTTTTAAATGTTTCACATTGTAGTTAACTCTAAGAAACCTTAAATGCGTCTTTCTTTGGAGAATAAGATTAATTAGAATATATCTGCTGCTAGACTGAATCTGCTAGGGATGCATCCTCTGGACAGAAACTTTGAACTTTTGTTAAGTTTATGGTGACTTAAGCAGTCCTCTTCATCGCCTCTGTCCTGGTCCGGTTAAAGTTTCAGAGTAAGAGGTGACAATGACGGTTTACTTATATATGGGCCTATACTGTCTTGTTTCATTTGTCTTTTTGCTATACAAATGCTTCGGTGGTACACAGCTGGAGCCATGAGGATCTTTTCTGCTGGAGTTTTTACTGTACTTGTACTGGATCCCAAGAAACACAGTGTTTGTCTGTCTCTCAGCACTTTCTGATTTCCCCACTGTATCTGAGGCTCTCAGCTGCAATCTTATCGGCTCTCACTGAAGTAAATTATTACAAATGGTTCACACGTAGCAGGAGACACTTGGCTTGGATCTGTACATGAGATTTGTTGACCGCAAGAAAAATATAGTTTCACCACACAGATGATATGATGATGTTCATAAACTAAAAGTGGAAATAAAATTGTCTTAATTGTCTCTGCTTTGGGAAATGGTCCTTGTTTAGTAAACCATAATATTTGTCATCAACACTCTGCAGTCAGTTTATTGAATGACCGCACGTTAAAATGAACATAGTGGTGTGGAAATGTCTCAATTCTAAGATGCATTGTGATGCAGACATAGACGATTCTCTATTGCAGTGACAAAAATAATAAATTACAAGTTTCTGCTATGTTCATTTTGTAGCTGTGGCCCGCCTCTGCAAAATTATTGACACCGCTGCTTCAGGATCAGGGCAGCAGTCATTGAACATCCAGTCGCCTTTTTGCATGCTGGAGTATTGAGTGTCGGAGTGTCCTCCCTTGCTACTCCCCCTCTCATCTATACTCACTTTGCACTCAAACAATAAACACCAACACTAATCAGAAGTAATTAGGACCTGCACAATACTTGAAGTTGACTTTGTATTTGATTTTCTGAGGAACACATTTAAACACATTGAAAAAAATTCCAACATTTACACGTAGTTCAGCGAAGCCAGGACTTCTTGTTTAAAGTTACCAGAGCGATTGGGAGTCATGATCCGACACATCAATTAATAACTAAATATATGTGATCTTCAGTTTAGGTCTGGAGAGCAACAGGGATTAGCACACACACACTCAGCTGTGGCTGAGGGGTAGAGTGGTCATCCTCCAACCAGAAGGTCGGTAGTTCAATCCCTAGTCTTCCCATGTGCAAGCCGAAGAGTCCTTGGCAAGATGCTGAACCCCGAATTGCTGCTAATACATGCACTGTATGAATGTGTGGGTGAATGGCAAACTGTAGTGTAAAGCCCTTTGAGTGGTCATCAAGACTAGAAAAGCTCTATATAAATTACAATTTACACTCACAGGCTGCAGAAAGGTGAGAAGTTCTTCTGTCACATAATAATTAACATTTTTATAGTGCCTATCAAGGGACCCAAGGACACTTTATGCATGTTTGAGGGATAAATATGAATTTTGAGTCGTTTTGTAGTAGTGTTCCTTTTAACTTAATTGATTCATAAAAAGTGAAATCCAACAACACGTCGGGATTATTATAAAGATCAGTTCTAAGTGTGAGTGAACACAAAAGAACAGAGAAGCAGAATCTCTTGTTGATGATATAGTTATCCCCTCGGGTGTTATCTCGATATTTTCTGGGATTTTGCAGATAGCGATAATTACACCATTGGTGGAGCCTCTCTGTCTGGAGCAACTGGGTGAATGAAGGTTAGAGTGAGGGAAGAAAAAAAAAAGAGGGATAAGACTGAGAGACCCACACACACACACCGTGAATGAGAAGACAGGCTCAGTGATTTCTAGAACGCTGGAAAAATGAATGTTGCATTGAACTGTTTATGCACTACACTTCACACATGTTGAGTTAGTACTCTTTAGCTGCTGGTTCTTACATTTTTATGCCTCCAAGCCAGCAACAGCCAGTGGCCAAAGGCATTATGTTTTCGAGTTGTCCATCTGTATGCGATACGAGGAACAAACATTCACTTGAACTTTGTTTTCATTTCATTCGCCATGGGTCCAAGGTCATGGTGGCCTCTAGAAGTATGTCTATTTTCTTCTTGTACATGATATCTTAAGATCAGCTTGTCTTCAAATTTGGTACAAATGTTTATTTGGCCTCACATCCCTGTAAATGTCAGTAAAGGAATCCACGTGAAAGTCAGGACGGCCTGTAGTGAATGTCTCGACATCGGATACAATTCACTTGGACTTGCTGATCAACTATTAGATTTTGGTGGTCAAACGAATGAATAATCTCAGTCAGTGCTTTGGCATTTCTTTACTGCATTCATGTGTTACTATTGGCTAATACACACTACTATACACTAGTACTTATTTATGTCCAGTCAAACATAGGTCTTAAAATATCAAGTGTCTCTCTTGATCATCTTCTTTATCAAATCTTGGCTTAAGTTTCATCTGCCACTCAGGCGTTTAGTCTCATGGACATTGTGTGTTATGTGCATTCAGGGACGTGCACAGACATTTTTCGGGGCAGGGGCTCAAGTGAAAAAAAGAGCAGTTCTCATAATTATTTATTAAAAAAATGTTTAAAACAAAACGTATAGTAGAACATCTCTGACTTACTGAACAATTGATTTTATTAAACTCAGGAAATGTTAAATACTCAACAGTTCACACAGAGACAATGGTCTTCTTGGTATTCACAAGGTTTATCACAAGAGCAGCAACATCAAAGGAAACGATGCATCTTGATGTATCTCAATGTATCAAATCCACAATTCCCTATATTACTGCACATGGCTGCTTTTTCATCAGTTTATATTAGTTAATAAAATCAGTCATATGAACATTCTTTTTATTTAGAAAGTCCTATGAAAAGTATTGTAGACTGTTACTGTTATTCCAATTGTGCTGCAATTTACAATATAAGGTTTTCAACTCAAAACTCAGACTACAACAGTAAGTCTATGACAGTGGTCAGTGCTCTCTGCAATGATTTCACATTCATTCAGTTTACACTTTGTGCTGCACCTAAGACTTAAAGGAGAAGTTTAAATTCATTGTTGCAGAAGAAGTGACGCCCCGTTTATCCAGGAACATAAATATGAATTCAGCAGGTTTTTATAAAGATCAGTTCTTAGTGTGAGTGATTAGAAAACATCAGAGGAGCAGAGTCACTTGTTGACCAGCGGAGTCATGCACCTCAGTGCAGTGGCGCTGCTAAGGGGGGGGTATTGTACCTCAATACAGTAAAGGCTATAATCAGAGTTTGTCCTTTTAAAGGAGAAGTTCGGTTTTTTTCAACCTGGTCCTTATTTCCAGCATAAGGTATGTAGATCTACTCACCCATAAAGGTTTGGAGTAACTTGGAGTCCTTCGGACGCTTTTAGATCCACACGCGATCAATGTATATCCATACAACGCAAGGGTTCGGGGCATCCACAATACAGCCTCTAAAGCTGTGCTGCGGCTGCGCGCCTCGGTGACGAGACCCCAGTGAAAGCCTGGGATGTAAACAAAGCAACTTGGACTCACAGGGGACTAGTGCTGGCAATTCATAGTAAATAAAGAGTTTTGCGGCAGATAATGCTTTATTTAGAGGCTGTAATGTGGATGCCCCAATCACTTGCGTTGTATGGATCTACGCTGATCGCGTGTGGATCTAAAAGCGTCTGAAGGGCTCCAAGTTACTCCAAACCTTTATGGGTGAGTAGATCTACATACCTTATGCTGGAAATAAGGACCAGGTTGAAAAAAACCGAACTTCTCCTTTAAAAGGACAAACTCTGATTATAGCCTTTACTGTATTGAGGTACAATACCCCCCCCTTAGCAGCGCCACTGCACTGAGGTGCATGACTCCGCTGGTCAGCAAGTGACTCTGCTCCTCTGATGTTTTCTAATCACTCAAACTGATCTTTATAAAAACCTGCTGAGTTCATATTTATGTTCCTGGATAAACGGGGCGTCACTTCTTTTGCAACAATGAATTTAAAACACTGCGTTGCATCTTAACCTTGATATCCTGGCGTCACTTTATGTCTTGTGTTGTGTAGCAGGATTAAACATGTGTCTCATAAACTCTAGCAAATAAAACACAAAGTAAACGTCAGTCCTTTACAGGTCCTAATAGCTTGTGTGAGAGAGTGAGGAGGAAGCAGATTCAGACAGAGACTCTGACACAGACTTTAATGAGCGTCTGTCCTGAAGCAGTGGTGTTGTGATTATTCAGCAGCAGGATATCGCAAAAATCAACATGAATTGATTATGTTCTGTCTCTGCATGGATGCAGAGTTGTCCACGTTGTGATGCATCTAAGACTCAAGAAATCCACAGCTCAAGTGCTCACTGCTATTGTAATCAATATATTGACAGGGAAGCTGTGCACAAACAGGAATATATTAATTTATTAAAAAAACATTTTTAAAAAGGCACCCCAGAAAAAGGGCACATCCTCTCGAGGAAGAAAAAGGACAGGGGCTCAAGCCCCCTTTGATGCCTATGTGTGCACATGTATGTGTGCAGTCATCTTATGTGTTGGGTTGTTTTTAACATCACATGTCCTCTCTTTGTCATGTGCAGGACGATGAGCCAGATGTGGTGCTGGTGAAGGTGGAGGAAGTGGAGCCACTGTCGGGAGCACAGAACCGGACAGACCTCAGCATACAGGAGGGTGAGTAGACTCATACATTGTGAGATATAACTGACATCACCTTATTGGGTCTTAATACATGAAATACATGCACCTGCCAAATCCTCTTTTTCCTGGTATGGGCACTTGTAATTTTAGCAATTTCTAAACAAAATAAAGGAGATCCATCATTGAAAAAGCCATTTGGAACAAAACATGTTCATTTTTTTCATTATAAGATGTGAATGACCCTTCTCATGTCATGGCAGCAGATTAAAAACAACATCAAGTCACTATCAGTGTGTATTGGTCAGCCATATAGCCAACCTAGTCTAGGATCTCTATTAGGATAAATGGCATCTATCCCACTTTGGACGGAGTGGCTCTCATCTATAGACATATGACAACGTTTATAAGACAACATGAGGACAATCCAGATTATAGACTAGGAGGCAGAGTTGCAGCCTTACATGCTTCTCTGAGCTTCTATTAGAGCAGTTACCCTCACAATATACCTCACACTATCCTAATGTGTCTCCCCCCAAAACACCTAAATTAATCAAATCAGAAGTAAACAGGAGAGGAGTAATACATTATACATAAAATGTCTTTGTTAACCTGCTACGTACCACAAGCTCTGCTTTAAAAGCCCACTCTTGATCCAGATGCTTTAGCTAATTATAGACCCATATCAAACATTCCCTTCATTTCCAAAATCCTAGAAAAAGCTGTGTAATTACTTAAATTGTAACGGTTTGCTGGACAAATTTCAGTCAGGATGTTATGGGCTAGTCAGGGAAGTCAGGACCCAGTTGCAGAGTTCAACAAAAGAGTTTATTAAACAAAAGGAGGGAGGACAGTTCCTCAGGAAAATACTCAAAAAAATAAAGTAACAACGCAAAAAGCTCTCTAGGAAAAGTAGCAACTAAAAATCTCCATAGAAATGGGAAAAGACTCAGGAACAAAAGTACAACTGAAATGGTGTCGAGGCACAAAACTCACGATACAAAGGGACACAGAAGGAATAACTCGAGGCGAGGCGATCAGCTGGAGTCACACGATGCACAGGCTTGGCACTGCAAGGCAAATGAATCATCCGGCACAGGAGACAAAGGGAGAGTGGCTTAAGAAGCCAACCAATGAGGGCATAATGAGCTGCAGGTGTGCCAGGTGCTCTGTGCTCCAGGAGATTGCCCCGCCCCTTGGTGCACACTCTGTATGAGAGAGAGAGAGA